CTGGAGATTTGCTGTTTGCATTTTCATTCTGTTTATTTCTGAGATTTGCCTGTAAAAGCCGTACACGGGTGCGGAGGAAATGCAGAATCTGTACCGATGTTTTTGCATACAAGCCACGGGTAGTATAGGTGTTACTATTTATCTTGTGTTTTTCCCAAAATAAAGTGAGCAAACTTTAGATTTAGGGGTCGTTCATTTGAGTAAGTCAGTCTAATTTTTTTGCTTTCTTAAAAATAGAATTTTTTAATTAATTCTCTGAGAATATCATACATGTTTTGATCACATTTGTCCTCACTCTTTCCCCTAATGCTTCCCAGATCCATCCCTTACATTTGCGTCCCTCTTAACTTCATGTTCTCTCTTGTTTTTAAAAACAGCCAAACAACGGGCCAACTCTTATCTGTACTGCTCATATACAGATGTGTGTGAGACCATTTAGTTGACGCTCTAGGGTTAATTTCCTATTGATGTCTATGTAAGTGTTTCCCAAGAAAACGGGGCTGGACAGACAGCTCAGCAAAGTACGTGATGTGCAGGCGTGAGAGCCTGGGTTTCATCCAGGTCACACATGTAAAGACCTGGTACGATGGCATGCTTGTAATCTCAGTGCTGGGGAGGTGGAGACACACAAATCTCTGCATAGTCAGCCTAATTTGTGAACCCCAAGCCAGTGAGAGACCCTGTCTCAAAACACCAAGGTGACTGACATCTGAGGAGGAATGACACCCAAGGTCGTCCTCTGTCCTTAACACACGCATGACCCGTGTGACCCGCGCTTACCCTGGCATGAGCATCTTTCCAGCTCTACAAAAACATGTTCTCTCTCTGTATCTGTCCCTCTGTGTCTTGGTTTGTGCTTAACCCCCACCCCAAACTCAAATAACTCCAGCAACCATCATCCTGAGCAGTGGTGAACATTGAAGAGCTTGGCTCAAACGGCTTTTGCAGGTAGAAGTGAAGTTTCCCCGGAGCCCCAGACTTATGGGAAACATCGTGGGATCAGCTGACTTTCCGCGGGGCGTTGCATTCCGTTCTCCTTCTTTTTTCCTCTCCCGCCCCCACCCTTCTTAGAAGCTAATGGGTTTATTGTGCACTGCAAAGGGCAGTGGTTGGACTAGCACTCAAAGGGGTTCAAGGTCTCCCTGAGCGCCTCCCAGTCTCCCCTTGAGGGGCAGGGGGTTCCTTTCAAGGTCTCCCTGAGCGCCTCCCAGTCTCCCCTTGAGGGGCAGGGGGTTCCTGACAGCTGTTTCTACATATTTGGTGGCTGAAGACTGTGATGAAAATCCATGACATAAGGGTCATGAAAAAGAAGTGGGTTTTAAGAAAAGAGGTAAGGTTTGGAATTTAGCTCGGTGGAAGAATGCTGAAGTCACTGGGTTTGGTCCCCAGTACTAGGTGGAATAAAAGAGAAAAAAAGAATCACAAAAGGAGGTGATAAGTGAATTGTTAATCTAATTAGTCTTATCAATAAAAGATTGGGAGTAAGGTATCAGGGTAAAAACCTGAAAGATTAGAGAAGCTGGGGAGCAGCCACAGTAACTTTCTACCTCTCTGGTTCCTCCAACCAAAAGGGCCAAGATCTTCTCTGCACCCTTCTCTCTGTGCCTCCCCACCCCACATACCACTTCCTGTCTCATTCTCTACAGTCCTCCAAACCTCTATGGTCAGCGAGTGGCTAGCTCCACCCTCTGACTCCAAGCAAGCTTTATTTGTCAGAACACAATCAAAATATCACCCAACATTTTCCCCCTTTTTGTCTAAATAAAAACAAAGGTTTTAACTATCATAGTAAAAAAATATATATGTACAGTAACTATATATAGGCAAGAATTACATTAATAATGTCTAGTCTACTTACATTATATGTCTGTAGAGAAAAGCAGAAACAAACATTTGAGATAATGTCCAAGAAAAAGAGTAAATTGGCCTACTGGTATATCACAATTTCAACCGGAGCATAGGACCAGACATGGGCACTTTTTAAAAAAATATCAGTTGTCATGATTGCTGGTGAAACCTTTAGCCCCATGTCTGCTCATAGAAGACCAGTGGAGCTGTCGGGTGTGTCTTGCAAGTGTCCTGTTTGCATGGCACATGTTAGCCATTCATTCTTTTGAGCTAATTTATCTAGTCACTGTGGCGCATTTAATTTTGGAGCATGCAAATTTCACTTTGGGGTGAGAACATGGGCTCTTTTTACTTGTTCACCCAATCGTAGTTACAGCCTGGCTACTGGCAAGGTCTTCTTATTCACGCTGCAAATGCACATCTGTTTTCCCAGTAATTTTGTTATGAAGCTTATTCCTCTAAATTCTGGTAATTTTTCAAACACATTGGGATGCTGCAACAAGGATTTCAGTCTGTGGTGGATCAATCTAGGACCAAGTGCAAGGGAGCTGATTTACGTAAATAACCAAAATCACCTCAACTAATGGCAGGTTCAAGTCTAACCATCCTGCAGATGGTTAACTATCCATTATTATACTAAAATATTAACTATCCTTTCGATAAGAAGTCAATCACATTCTGGCCGATGTCTGGTCCTATGCTCCACTGCCTGATTTTTATGGCTACGGAAAGCAAACATCTTCTTGATTTTATTATGTAATCTGTGATGGCACAGAGCATCTCCAGTCTAAAAAGTCTGCACATTTAAAGCTGCTGCTGTTTTCTTACTGGCATGAGAATGTTTGAAAAGAGAAGATGCAGATCACGGCAAGTATGAAGCTCCATGTATCCTGCCAATCAAGTGGGATTGCAGTAACTTTCTCTATAAATGTTGCCTCAACTTAGAGATGCATGGTGAAAGGGCTTCTATAGTCACCTCGAGATTACAGAGCTCATCCGCCCAGCACCTACTGCTACATGTTGGTGTGCAGTCCTTACATCTGGCTGTGCTTTGAGCAGCTTGCCGGGCTGTCCTGATGTCTGACAAACAGAAGATAAACCAAGAAAGGGAGGCAGGCAGGTAAGACAGATTTTTTCATTTATCATGTGATACATTCTGCAGCAGTAAACACCACTATCTCACAAATAAACCCTAGAAGGCAGGAAAAGAAAACACTGCTTGAGAAAGCTTCACAGACAGAGACTGCACTCCTGCTGTAGGTGACCTTGACCTTTTGGAGAGCCTGCATGCCCTTTTTTTGTATTAAATAAAATGGGAGTGTAAGGACTGATGATCTGATTTGGTGAGCGGGTCACAGAAACGGTGCTGGCATCTGTTACTTCCACTCTGCGATCCATTACTTCTGGTCTGTTAATGGCTGGAGATATTTGATTAACGGCTGAGATGTGGACGTGAAGGGGACCCAAGGTGGGCTGTGAAGTATACCACGTGGCTAAATCTCTATTCCATCGCCTCACCAGCTTCTCTAGCTCCAGATACCGGGCAGACTGGCAGCTGGGGGCCTCAGAGGCGGGAAAGGCTCCATTTACTCCAAGAATAATTGTGTGTTTGTGCATGTGTGGATATGCACATTATAATATTCTGTCAATAAAAATGCAGGACCAGAAGGTGGTTTATCATTTTTGGGACTAATTAAGATTAAATCTCTCCTTCTCCAATAAAAAAAAACATGCATTCATTAGATCATCTGAAAAAGGAAATTAAGAGAATTTTATTATTTCTAAATATTAACACAATACATAGTTTATGAATAACAGTAGCAGAAAAGAGTGTCTGCCTTGTATACATTCATAGCTAGAGTTGTAAGAAAAACTTTTTTTTTTTTTTTTTAGTAATCGGTAAGTTACAACATTCCCCTTAATGGTAAACATGTTCTGTAAGCCAATGTACTAGAATATATTAATTAGAGATGCATTTATGTATTTCATTTTGACCAGGCTTATCATTCCAGGTTATAAAAGAAGGCAAGCTTCCTTTGTATGGATTTTACTGAAATAGATGCTACTGCCAAAAGCAATTGTAGAAAGGACCCAGGAGCTGAAAGGATTGTAAGACCCCAGGAGCAAGAGAATTAAGACCTACAGGCTGTAGGAAGTCTGCAACTTATGCCCCCCGCTTTTTTCATTTTCAGCTCAACACTTCTTAACTAAAAACATTGCAAAGCTTCTAAACTTGAGCTTCCAAGGCGGCCGTGGGTAAAGTGCTGCCTGGGTAGGCCTGAGGGCTTGAGTTCAACTCACAAGAGTCAGGGCAGAAAGGGGAAAGCCGCTCCTAAAAGTTTTTCACTACTACAAATACATCATGGCACCCACATGCCTACACACACACACCTTTTAAAAAGAACTTCCATATTTAGTATTGTAAACATTTATGAAGTGCAGTCAACTATGGAAAACCCCAAGCACAGATGATGAAATGTTGATTATAAAACCTAAGAACTAACCAAGCACATCATGGAAGAAAAATAGAACCACTGGCTAAAAATAACCAGAAAAGAACCTAGGAAAATGATTCTGTTATTTAGTACTGGTACTTTCAAAAAGACTTAGACCAGGTCCAAACTAGACTTTCATTTTTGATGGGGTCCAGAAAGTGAAATAACTCCAACAACAGAAACAAAAAGGTCCCAAAGAGACCAACCAACCAACAATTACCAAAAGAAAAAAAAAAAAAAACCCTGGAGGCATATGGCTAAGAATTAAATTTATTGGGTAGCAAATCTGCCAAGAGAACAAAGTCTGCATTCTGTTTCTCTTCACTGATGGAGAGATGGATTGCTGTGTCCCAGCAACAGGGCCTACAAGGCAGGCACCTCAGACGGTATACTAGTTACTGAGGCAAAGTTCTCTTTACAGCTCAAGACAAAACACTCAATGCGCTGGGCCTCTGCAGCAATGTTGCTGCAGCAACTGTGGGTGGTGTCTAGCAGCAAGAATGTGGGTGCCTATGTCACACACTGGCTACAAAAGTGGAAGACTGATATAGTTTTCAGTACACCGAGTCAAACCTGAAAGAAATATAAAAATGCACAGGAAAACAAAAAAAAGGAAAATATAGATTTGAAAAAGTCTAATGACCTTTTCAAAAGTAACTACACATTCCACCCTATGATCTCATAAATCAAAGCTTTCAACTGTCGGGACTCATACGTGACTGTATTCTTCCCAATGTGCATTCTCTCTTCCTCCAAGGGCTGTTCTATAACAGCAGGGATGTTTCTGCCAAAAATTTCACAGTGCTCTAGAAACTGGACACATTCTTGAATAACAGTGTCCCTCAGCATGATCGTGTGTTTTGACATGTTTTCTAGCAAGGACAGGAAGCATCTTTTAGCATAATACCACGTATCAGTTCCTAGCTTTTTATGGTAAGGCTCCAGGCTCTTGATAACCCTGGAGATACCAAAGTCATAGTTTCCTTTGGCACAATAGAGTGTTCCTATCACCAAGTTCACAATGCAGAGGTGGTAGATTTTCTTGTCTGGGTCACCATAGGAGAGTTGTTCTTCCTCCTTCTCAATCTTCCTCATCAGCTCCTCGGCTTCCTCATTCTGACTTGTCATAATGTAGGAGACACAGAGGTTGGCTAGGACAATGGCGCTGACGTTCAGGATGTTGTCGTAGTTCTTCTTGACGATGGGCTCATAGAAGCCGATGGCCTCTTTGTACTTGTTTTCCTGCATGAAGAGGACGTGGGCCACATTCAGCTTCCACACATCATGGTCATTGCAGAATTCCACAGATTTGCGGAAGATCTTCTCCACCATGGGATAGTTTTCGAGATTCCAGTAGATTTTTGCCTGGGCCATGAGGACAGGGATATACTTCTCGAGAGTTTCATCATATTCATTCACGGCCTTTATGACAATTTCATCATCTCTGTTGTGTCTTGCTTCCTGAACTTGCTTAGTGAGTCTCCTGAGCTGCTCAGTCAGCATGCCAGCTAGCCCATCCAGCTTTATGAAAGCCTCTTCAGGAGCTGTCTGGCAAGTGATCATGGCATCCAAGAAGTCATAGAGATAGGGCGTGAGGAACTTGTACGTCAAGTGGGCATTCTCTGCCAGGACATCAGCTGCCAGGTCAAAGTACTCATATTTACAGTAGAGCAGTAGCAGGTTGCCGAAGGTCTCTGGGGGAAAGGGGTTCTGCTGCAGCAGGAACTGGAGCTTCTCAAACCCCTCCGTAGGTCTGGCATCCATGTTCATCAGAGCCTGGTTGTGCAGGGTCACAGGGTCCAACTCTTCCTCTGCCCTGGGCGGCATGTCAGTGAGGGCTTCCTGGGCTGCCTCGTAGTTTCTCAGTTGGTACTCAATGGCTGCCTTGAGGTTGAAGGCTTCGACCAGTGCCGTCTGGTGAAGGACTACGGTGTTGCCAACACTTCGAACATCAATGCCTTCGGTGGTCATGCCCACACCTAACTCTGGGTGCTGACGGATGCCTCTCTCTATGATGTTGGCGATATGCTTCAGAGCTGGGGCATAGTGCCTGTTGCTGTAACAAGCTAAAGCCAGGTTGTAAGATACATCAGGCTGGTAGCCAGAGGCCTGCAGGGCTGCAAAGAACTTGGAACAGGCAGCTTCGTAGTGTCCCTCCTTGTAGAGCAGACAACCCATGTTGACCAAACCATCTGGGTCATTCTCCCCTCCACTGTCTTCTCCAGCTTCCCCACTCAGCAGCTGCTCCACCAGGCTCCTGGCTCCTGGCAGGTCGCCCTCGCTGTACTTGATAGCAGCCTGGAGACGAAGGACGCGAGTCTGATAGGTGGGGTTGTCCAGGAGGAAGGCGACCCGCGTGGCCTCGGGATACAGGCAGGCCTTATACAGCGCCTGGGCCTGGTAGAGGCGGTACTGCTCGAGTTCCGGGTGCATCTGGCTCAGCTGCTCATAGCACTCTGCAGCGAGCTCGAACTCCTGCAGGCGGTAGTAGCAGTAGGCCAGCAGCGACAGCCCGGCGCGGCTGCGGGGGCTCCTCTGCAGCTCGGCGGCCAGCAGCTGCACTGCCTCTGAGTAGCGGGAGTCGCGGATGAGCCGGTAGACCACGGCCGTGAACTCACCGTCGGGGATCTGCGAGCTGCTCAGCCCCGCCATAACTGTCAAGATTGGTGAGTATTCTGGTTCCCCGGGGAACAAGCCAATGGAAACGGAAGTCTTGAGACGGTTCCTAACGTATCCCGGAAGTTGTTTTGTAACAGAAGAAAGTTGCCTGTCTAGGAAAGACTAACTGTTTCTTGCACTTAACGCAAACGGCAAAGTTTCTGAACATAAAACAGTATTTTAATGTGTTTATTTCAGATATGAAATCATCACAATTTAAGCGAACTGGAACAGGTCAAATAATAATATAAAAATGCAATAAGTTATAAAAAAAAACTTTAGTCATATTCTCTGACACGCCTGCTAGTATTTCTCAACCTAAAGTGATCATTGTGTGAATGTATACATGTCATACCGCATATATACATTCAACTCCATTTTACATATGATTCATTCCTTCTGGAAGAAGAAAAGAATTTAATTATAGCAACAATCTTTACTTTTCAATAGAAAGCTGTTGCATCATAAAAATTTGCTCGTTTTATGGGTTAAAAACTTTCAAAACCTAACGTTTTTGATGTTCTCTACGACAGAATGACGTTATTGAGAACAGAAGGACAATAGGTCAGGAAAACAGGGATTAAAGTCCTATATGTTTGTGGGGAATCCAGTGCATGAGTAGCAAAGCCCATGGGATTCCCCTGAGAACTGACTGGCAAGATTGTGGCCATGAAACTGGAAAACAAATGGAAAAAAATAGTGCAGGATAGTTTTGTGATAATTTAAACTTATATCATTTCATATATCAATATTTAAATGGAATCAATTTCAAAAGAAACTTCAGTAATGTAAAAAAACTAAAGTGTATTTCTCTTTCCCAAGATGCTATGAGAAGAAACCCTAGCATTAACGTATCTGATTCACTACATAAGTATGGGAATTAAACATTGACTTTTAAAATCACTTGTATTATTGACAATAGTCAATTATGAACAGTAAAATATCAGATATTTGTCAATTATTTATTATCTTCAAACCAGAGGACTACACTTTTACTTAGGGATAAAATTTCACATTGAATTTTGCATCTTCTAAGAAAAACCACTGAGAACATTAAAAGTTTTGGCAAACATTACTTCTCTTCTAAACAAAAACCAAACCCCTAAAGCCCAACAAGACAAAACAAAATCTTTAAAATCGACCAGGGTGCAAAACTTCTACACTACAAATAAAATCATGGTGAGGGTAAACAGAGGCAGGGCACGGACTCCCTAAAACTGCCTCCAAAGCCCAAATGGACGATAAACTAAGGTCCTGAGTCCACGCATTTCTTCCATGGATGCATTGATCTTCACAAACAAAATAAATAATGAAATACAAATGAAAGGATGCAGACATAATCAGCTCTTTTAGATGGTACTTCCTTCCTCCATTCAGTTATGAAAACTGAAATACAGGCTTCTGGGATCGTTTATTATGTCCATTGGTGAAGTTTCTCATCAGGAAAACCTGTATCTAATTAAATAGACATGTAAACAAAGTACAGCATATAAAATGTGTGAAAATGCCAACGCTAACACGTAAAACACAATGCCAAGATAACAAAGCTTTTATAATAAAAGTCGTTAACAGATATTACTACACATTCCACCCTATGATCTCATAAATCAAAGCTTTCAACTGTCTGGACTCATACGTGACTGTATTCTTTCCAGTGTGCATTCTCTCTTCCTCCAAAGGCTGTTCTATAACAGCAGGGATGTTTCTGCCATAAAGCTCACAGTGCTCTAGAAACTGGACACATTCTTGAATAACAGTGTCGCAAAGCACAATCATGTGTTTTGACATGTTTTCTAGCAAAGACAGGAAGCATCTTTTAGCATAATACCACGTATCAGTTCCTAGCTTTTTATGGTAAGGCTCCAGGCTCTTGATAACCCTGGAGATACCAAAGTCATAGTTTCCTTTGGCACAATAGAGTGTTCCTATCACCAAGTTCACAATGCAGAGGTGGTAGATTTTCTTGTCTGGGTCACCATAGGAGAGTTGTTCTTCCTCCTTCTCAATCTTCCTCATCAGCTCCTCGGCTTCCTCATTCTGACTTGTCATAATGTAGGAGACACAGAGGTTGGCTAGGACAATGGCGCTGACGTTCAGGATGTTGTCGTAGTTCTTCTTGACGATGGGCTCATAGAAGCCGATGGCCTCTCTGTACTTGTTTTCCTGCATGAAGAGAACGTGGGCCACATTCAGCTTCCACACATCATGGTCATTGCAGAATTCCACAGATTTGCGGAAGATCTTCTCCACCATGGGATAGTTTTCGAGATTCCAGTAGATTTTTGCCTGGGCCATGAGGACAGGGATATACTTCTCGAGAGTTTCATCATATTCATTCACGGCCTTTATGACAATTTCATCATCTCTGTTGTGTCTTGCTTCCTGAACTTGCTTAGTGAGTCTCCTGAGCTGCTCAGTCAGCATGCCAGCTAGCCCATCCAGCTTTATGAAAGCCTCTTCAGGAGCTGTCTGGCAAGTGATCATGGCATCCAAGAAGTCATAGAGATAGGGCGTGAGGAACTTGTACGTCAAGTGGGCATTCTCTGCCAGGACATCAGCTGCCAGGTCAAAGTACTCATATTTACAGTAGAGCAGTAGCAGGTTGCCGAAGGTCTCTGGGGGAAAGGGGTTCTGCTGCAGCAGGAACTGGAGCTTCTCAAATCCCTCCGTAGGTCTGGCATCCATGTTCATCAGAGCCTGGTTGTGCAGGGTCACAGGGTCCAACTCTTCCTCTGCCCTGGGCGGCATGTCAGTGAGGGCTTCCTGGGCTGCCTCGTAGTTTCTCAGTTGGTACTCAATGGCTGCCTTGAGGTTGAAGGCTTCGACCAGTGCCGTCTGGTGAAGGACTACGGTGTTGCCAACACTTCGAACATCAATGCCTTCGGTGGTCATGCCCACACCTAACTCTGGGTGCTGACGGATGCCTCTCTCTATGATGTTGGCGATATGCTTCAGAGCAGGGGCATACTGACGATTGCTATAATATGACAAAGCCAGGTTGTAAGATACATCAGGCTGGTAGCCACAAGCCTGCAGGGCTGCAAAGAACTTGGAACAGGCAGCTTCATAGTGTCCCTCCTTGTAGAGCAGACAACCCATGTTGACCAAACCATCTGGGTCATTCTCCCCTCCACCGTCTTCTCCAGCTTCCCCACTCAGCAGCTGCTCCACCAGGCTCCTGGCTCCTGGCAGGTCGCCCTCGCTGTACTTGATAGCAGCCTGGAGACGAAGGACGCGAGTCTGATAGGTGGGGTTGTCCAGGAGGAAGGCGACCCGCGTGGCCTCGGGATACAGGCAGGCCTTATACAGCGCCTGGGCCTGGTAGAGGCGGTACTGCTCGAGTTCCGGGTGCATCTGGCTCAGCTGCTCATAGCACTCTGCAGCGAGCTCGAACTCCTGCAGGCGGTAGTAGCAGTAGGCCAGCAGCGACAGCCCGGCGCGGCTGCGGGGGCTCCTCTGCAGCTCGGCGGCCAGCAGCTGCACTGCCTCTGAGTAGCGGGAGTCGCGGATGAGCCGGTAGACCACGGCCGTGAACTCACCGTCGGGAATTTTAGAGTTGCTTTGCCAGGCCATGGCCGCCAAAAGTAGCGCGTGCTAGTTTCCAAGGCAACTAGGTAACCGGAAGTGGAAGTTTATGCGTGGGTGTGCGTGGGTTGTCATGAGATAGAAAGCCTCTGTTAGATGCGAAGACGAACAATAATTATAATACCTGAATTTTCATGTGTTAGAAGAGTATAAACTGGATAGAGAGAATAGTGAGAGAAGGGATAGAAAGCTGCTTCAAGCAATCAGGCATATAAATTTTCCTCTAGACACGCGCCATTTTCACTTCCCATGGGTCAGCGGCGCTTTGCATTCTGGGAATTGTAGTTTCATTTCAAGTCGGCTTAACCCTGTATACTTTTGACAGGATCTGATTCCTTTATATGTGTTTTTGTTTATCTGTGTATTCAGATAGAAAACGATCATCCAAAGTCATTTATTTCTGTATTGAGAGTTTTAGACTCTCCCTAATCGTTAAAATGGCGTGTTGCTTGCCGGTTGGATGTTCCTTCCTCTCTGTGGCCTGACAGTGCCCTGCCTCAGGGCCTGGCATAAATGAAGGTTTTTGAGGCTTATACACTATTTTGAGACAATGATCTTTTTGCTTTAAAAACTTTGAAATCTTCTAGAATTATTATTTCGTGCTGGTTTAATTGTGTACTGCTTAACAGCACAGTGACCATGTATTCTGTAAAAACTAGAAGATGATCTAGAATGGCAGTTTTGGTTTTGAAAGTCTGTTTATTGAGAACATTGCAAGCAAAAGTAAAGCAATAAATATGAAGTAGCAGATAGAAACATCAGATGGATAATTCAATATAATCAAATTGGGGGCTTACAAATATTCAGTTGAAATCAACTAGGGAAGTCCATCACGGGGCTTAGCTGGAATTTCCAATGAGAGTCCCAGGCAGAGCAGAACGTCTTGGGGAACTGTTCCAGATAATGTAACACGCACGTACCTCGGAGCGGATAGACAAGAGTATCAAATCAAGCCTTTGCAAGTATCTCCCGGAAATGACGACAGCAAACCTGTAGAAACAATCATACTTAGGCGGGTGGCGCATGCCTTTAATCCCAGCACCTCGGAGGCAGAGGCAGGCAGATCTCTGTGAGTTCGAGGCTAGCCTGGTCTACAATACCAACAAAAATATCATGCTTGAGTTCCTGATCCAGAGCTCTGAGCAGAAGATCCTGTCCATCACCATCATCCCCACTGAGCTCACATCTTGATCTCCAGGATGGAGGCAGAGAGTGTGACACTAGGAGTCCTTTGAAATCTCTAAGCCCATCTCTAATGACACACCTCTTCCAACAATGTCACACCTTCCCAAACAGTTCCACCAATGGGGACTAAGTATTCAAACATATGAGTCTGTGAGGGGCAGTCTTATTCCGGCCACCGTAGAGGGTTGAACCATGGTCACAATGAACTAGGTTCTGTGGGAAACTGTGAGTGACAGATACTTCAGTACCCATGTCTCCAGTAACGGGAAAGGACTGCCAAGTGTGGGCAACCAAGTGTACGAGAGGAAAGACTGCATTTTGCAAGTAGAAACCACAACTAAACAGGTGTGGGCAGCAGACTGCGAACTTGCATGCCTCAACTGCGGCTCAGATGTGCAGTGATCAGTGCAGGTTGCATATTTCCTGGTTACCCAGTATCACAAGGAAAAGGCCTGAATGGGTGTCCAATCGCTCATATCATAGAATGCCTGACTTCACTCTTGTTGGGAATCAGCAGCAGTGTGACTTCTTGGGTGCCATCAGACAAGGAACATTTAATGCGCCCAGTGAGCAGGAAGGAACAAATGGACCTATCTCCTATGCTGTGGAGAGGATTCTGCCCACAGAAGATCTTCACAGAAAGCAGCTAAGGAATCCTTCTATATCCCTACCCCAAGCTTTCTTTCACCCTGATTTCTGGTGTATTCTCTGAGGTGAAGCCTGTGGTGGGGGAAGGTGACCTCTGATGCTCAAATCTTAAGGAATACAGGGTATCCTCTTCTCTATGACTGGTGGCCTGCCTGACGTTTGTTCCTTGGAAACTCACACTCAATATTTGACAATCTTTATGCAAAGACTGTTATCTTTAACAAGCTGGTACTAAATTGAGTAAACATGGAAATAAGAAATGCCCTTTATCCCTTCAGTTCCTCTCTGTTTGCAGAGCTGTAGCTTAACATTATGAAACCATCCACCTTCAAATATCCTTTGAAACCCCCCCCCCCAAAAAACGAAAGGACTGTCTGCTTTCCCCACATTTCTTGGCTAGCTACAGGGATCATCTGGGTTTCTCCTCTCTGTGTTGGTGCCTGTCTGTGAGCAGGGCAGTTGAAGGGCATGGGAGGGTGGCTATTCTGTGTCCTCCTCCTCCTTTCATAGGAAGTTGCTCCACTGGCCTGGCTCAAAAGGAGCAGGGCATTTGGCTCAGACAGATGGAGGGCAGGATCATTTTCAAAACGCATTGAGCACACCCGTCCCACTGTGAGACTGGCATGGCCGCGGCCACTGCTGTGAGAGCTGACTTTGGTTTGGTCTCTGATAGGCAGCTGGGGAACAGCCTCAGTGTTTTTTTTAATGGATGGGGGAGATGAAAGGAGGTACTTTAGTGAATGATGGAAAGCAAGCTGGTAGAATATTGTGAAGTATCAAAGATCTTTTTTTTTTCACTCTGCACAGTGGATAAGAATAAAAAAAAAGATCATTTTTTTTTTTTGTTTCCAATAGGGTCTTGAAAAGCTGGAGTACATAGCAAAGGCAAATCTGCAACACCGTCCTCGGTTAACAGGACCCATAGGGGTGTTTATAAAGTGCTGGAGACATGTGGACAGGAGTTAATGATTGACAGATCAAGGGAGGCATGATTACCAAGAAGAGTTTGATTTAGGCAAAACATGTCAGAGCTAAGCAGATTAGAACTAAGAACTAAGAATTAAGAACTAAGCAGGTTAGTTCTTAGCACACTTCAGTTCTTCTGGTCAAAACACAAAGTGATGAGATGTAGGATGTGTTGAGCAGTCTCTTTTACAATTAGCTGGGAATGTACTTACCCCACGCACGTGTTCATTTGCGGGTGGTAAATTGTTACTCCATAACTGTTGCACACACAACCGTGTGCAAGAACTTTCCTTGGCAAAATAAGCCCTTTGCAGAGTTACTATTTTCTTTCCCCTGATGGTTCCTGACCATTTACTTCAGGGTGGCCAGTTTGGGTGCCCAGTCCCATAGCATTCTAGTCTTCCCAACTCCGTCTCCACCGTGGACAGGGAAGCCAACCTTGTGACGTCGTTGACTGACTCTGAGTTCAGGATTGGAAGCTTTGGGGCCATCTGTATACCAGTCAACAAGGGATCCTTAAGCTTAGTGGGAGAGCCATGAGCCATTTCATCTGATTAGGGCTCGCCTTTCCGAGTAACCTCCATAGCGTCTGAACAAGATCTCTTCCTTGAATGGACTTTGAATTTGATCAAGTAGCTTGTATTTTAAGGTTTAAAGTGTCATTAAATTAACCTAAATTATGCTATCTGGACTGTGCAGTAGTGTTGTGGTTTACAGAAGGAATTAGCGGAGAAGGCAAAGTGCGGATACTAATTTGTAAAACATCCAGCCAGACTTTCTAAAAGCTACTCTAAGCCCCAGAGCTTTTGCCCACTTTGTCTAACTTCCAACACTAATCCCCACAGACCTTCTGTGGGTTAGAGATTCTTATTTCCAACTCACTGTATAATTGCAGGTTGCAATACACAAAGAGACTGGTGGCTGCAGCAAGCAGCGCTGGCGATTGCTTACACTGTCCAGTAGAGGGCCATACTGCGCCTCTTTCCTCTCTCCTTGGCTGCCTCCTCTCGTCATTTGAATTGGCTTTGGATTGTTGCAGTTCGTTCTAATAGAACAGACACGATGGTGTAAGACACTCCCCCCCCACACACACACATCTTGTCTAACTGCCCATGCAAATTTAAGCAATGCATACTGAATGCAGGGACCCAGCTTTTGGCTGCAGAATTCTCTTACCTCCAGAAAACCTTCAATAATTTGAAAAGTCTTTTATTTTAAAAACAAGGTCCCAGTATAGGTCTCGCATAAGCAGACAGCACCGACCAAAGGTAATGAACTAAATTGTAGTAGGTATTAGGATGCATGCGTCCTTTTTCCAGCCGGCGACATAAAGATTACTCCAGAATGTTAGTTAAACATTAAGCATTTTATTAAAAACAAGAAGCTTCCGTTTTCTTAAAGCAGTCTGTTTCGAAGCCGTGGGTAGTTGCTTCTGCCATGGCCAAGCAGCATTTTACCAAGTGTTCTTACAATACAGTGTTAACCTGGAAACTTCACAGAGAGAGAGGGGCTTCACACGAGCCAGCCGACAACGTAGTTCCCTTCTTTTGGGTAAAACAACAATAATTAGGAAACAAGTCAGTAAGGAACTCTTTTTTAGATTATTGCAAATCAGAATAAAACAGTGAAAGCAACAGCCCTTCAAGGGGACGGACTCAGCAAACTAGACTTCTGCCTCCACACTGCGCTATTCTTTAAAGGTGCTCTGAATATGATGTGATCTAAATCCACATTAAAGCAGAAGAAAAACGAGCGCGCTAACACACATATGCACAGACATGAACACAGATGATGGCCTCAAAGAAGATACTTTTTTTTTTCCCACAGCATGTAGCTCATTTACTTCATAAAACACACGGTTTGCACCGGTGCCTACATTCAGTTACATGGGTACAGGTGGATACACAGATGACCATTGGCCTTTAGTGATACTGAGAGATGCACAAACATGCAAGGCCATTCAAAATCAAAGTATATACAACCCAAACTCATTCGCTGGGGAGACAGGGTGATACAGACAGTGAGCACAGTGCTGGGCGCCGCCAAATCTGAGGCCCTTCAAGTACGTCTCCAGTCACATCTTTTAGGATGGGCCAGTCACGTTCTACCACTGTTCTCTTAGGACAAGGGTTCTCAACTTTCCTAACGCCGCGACCCTCTAATACAGCTCCTCATGTTGTGGTGACCCCCAGCCATAAAATTATTTTCGTTGCTACTTCGTAACTGTAATTTTGCTACTGGTAAGAGTCATAATGTCAACATCTGATGTCAGGCTATCTGAGCTATCTGATATTTGATCTCTGGTGGGTTTGTGACCCACAGTTGACTTAGGAAGTGTGTGACACTTTGGCCTTCTAGCAGCTGGACTTAACCTTTAAATTCTTAGTAATTTGGGGCTTAGGCACTCTAGACACACATCATAGAATAACGATTCTAGATTGTTACTGTGAAACATTAGGAATTCACTAAAGGAGGCGGGGCAAAGTGTTTAGGGTCCCAAATTAGGTTACACTGAGTAGCTTTAATGAATCTTTTTGTCATTTTCCCCACCAAAACACATTTCTCTTTATGTTTGAATTTCATCCAAACATGCTTAGATTCCTGCTGCACTTGTGAGGTTAGATTGTAATTTGTTTTGGTCTTTTTGTAACCCACAAGGGTCAGTAAGAGAAATGAGTTGGAAAAATATTGTGCTGCAAAGGAAACGGAGTAAAGTCAGTCTAACGACGTAAGCCATTGAAGTACGCTAAATTTTGATATGCAGAAAAAGCAACTGAATTCAGAAACATACTGTTGTTACTGCACTAATAAAAAACAGTGCTGAAATCTTAAATGCAAGATATTTGCAAACCTGGAGTACCTGGAAGCATGCAAGCCTTCGGGTTTCAAGACACAGAAAACTCATGTACAATTTTTGCCTTTCTTGGCTCCCTTTACAAGTTCACTTCTAAACTAATGATTCCCACATGGGATTCAGTGATATGAGATAATCTCAGGCTGTTCTTTATGAAACAGGAGGATACCCACTTCCGAGCAGGTGTTGGAGACTGTATTGTCACATTCATTAGAAGCTGTCTCCGACGCTTTGTAGGAAGGTTGTTTTGGGGTCCACTCCCTCTCTGTGTAAATGTTTACCCTGTCTTCGGTGAGACGATGACTCTCTCGGGTTTGCTTCTATTTTATTTGAGAAGCAGAAAGAAGAGAATGACTTGGATGAAGTTTCCAAAGCAAAGCACAGCATAGCTTGGTCCCTGGATGCAGAAACTGAATAAAATCTGGTGCTTTTATTTAACAGACAGAAACCTGAAGTGCCGCAGGGTCCCCAGATAGTAGGCCCATTGGCAGCCAGCGAGGAGGGAACCCGGTCCGCTGTGGACTGGTGGGTCCCCTTGGTGGTTTGCCAAGATGCACTCACCCCACCGCTATCACCAGCTGTGCTGTGGGCTGTGCACGCAGTAGCTACACGCTCACTAACATGGATAAATAGAGTTTCTGAAAAAATACATCTCATACAAAAGGAGGATGGAGTCACCTCAGCTGTTCGTGCCAAGAGACCTGAGGAAGCAGACAATCTTGTCTGAGTTTTTTTTTCCTTTGAAGAGGGCTCACATTTCAAATGCCTTTTTCCAACAGGAAACAACAGTGAAGAATAAGGATTGATACGTTTCCTCATTCTGTGCGTTGGAAACAGAGTCTAGGATCCCACATAACTCACGGTCATGGGAAAGAAATCGTTTTACAAGGGCTTTAAAAATCCCAACCTTTGACCTCTAGGGTTTGGCTACCACCATCTCTCCCAGTTCTCCACAGTCATGGAGGAGCAGACCCCAGACATTAGTCAGCAGTTTCTGAATCTTGACCCACAATAGGACAGATACCTTGAGACAGGAGAAATAGATGGAGGCAATTACAAGCAACCATTTGATTGATGGTTGACATTGTCAGGGCTCCACTGTCTGGCAGATTGCAATGCTGTTGAACTCCCTTTGCTACCGATGGATGTTGCTATTGGCAACCGTGCAGTGAAGCCAATAAAAAGGCAAGATGAGAGGAAAACTCAACCTTAGAGGAAGCCGTAGGGTTTGTGCTATAAATTATGTCCCCCTCAGCAATATGTAGCATCAACATTCAGGGAGGAGGGAGGCTGCTGTCTCGCTGCTGCCAGCAGCCTCTGGAAGACACTGGGTCCAGTTGTATCAGAAAGCACATGCTTGAAACTGTCTGCTTTGGGTGGACTGGCGTCCGTTTTCCTGGTTATTTATTGTTAGGACGGGTAACAGATGTGGGCTCACCGCAGCCTCATGTGGACTGCTTCTTCATTCCTGTCTAAGACAGAAACGTATGGGATGATGTGGTGCGGTACCCAGAAGCACCTGCACACGATCCTGCAGACTAGGGTCTCTTCCTAACTCCACCCATCCTTTGTTCCTCACCTGAAGGAGGGAGACAGCGCTGCAGAAGCTATTTGCCTTTATAGCAGAGTGATTCAGAAAACTGGCTTAATAAAATCCATAAATCTGCACAGCCTCCTCTTACCTGCTCTGCAGAAGCATTTTTTTTTTCTGCGCTCGTGTGTCCCCCCCCTCCCCCAGCCTTCCCTGCAGACACAGATGTGAAGGGCAGCTAGCAACATTGTTTCTTAGTGCGCCCAGCCCTTCCTTTTCTCCTTTGTCAAGATTCTCCCTGTGTAATTGTCTCTCTTTCCTGCTCAATTGATGCCATGATTCTGTACCCTCATTTGGGAGAGTGGGGGAACTGTAATTGCCTTTTTTCTTTGTTTGGATTGACTTTCACCCCTTAGCCATTATCTTAGCCATCTCTCTACCTTAGTCCCTATCTTCTAGCCCCACACTTTGCCCCGTTTATTTTATTGTGTTTCTTGCCATAACAAAGCTGCCTTCCTCATGGTGATTTCCAGATCATCCCACTCCCTGTTTGGTACCTTCATTTTTAGGACACCCCATCCCCAGCTTCAAACATCTGACCACTATTTTTTGATAATAACTGATACTGGTCAGTAAAAGTAAGGAAAAATGTTTTGTAAATGTTTGATTGTTTAGAGCTGGGCTGGCTCTCAGGTTTCACATCTGCGGGGATTTTCAGAGTGCTCAGAGTCTCTCTCTGGAGCACCATTACGTGAACAAAGAGACGATGATTTGTGTGGACTCTAGACCCTCAAGCCCTGTGAGCTCTGAACCCCCTGGACCTGTGGGCTCTGGACCTCCTGGACCTATAGGCGCTGGACCCCCAAGACCTGCTATCTTCTGTCCTGGGGAGTCCTTGAAAGTTTGTTGCACAAACGATTTTAAGGTTAAGACTTCTGCAAGTAAGCTACTAGGGTAATTTCAGTTTGGGCAGCAGAGAAACCTGTCCAAAGCCACCCAGTTGAGGATGCAAAATTAAGGACAGCAAGGCCAGTGCTTTTCGGTGAAGATGGACCCTCTCCACAAGTGTCTTGGGTGACATGGGCATCAAAGCAGCTTAGTAGACACCACATCCATTTAAAGCAGTTTTTTTCACCCGTTAGAGGCCTGACTACCTAGAGGATATAGGTTGTGTAGATGTTATTACCTGGCCTTTCTAGAATATTCTTTTTTTCACTTAAGGAAAAATATAAAATTGAGGTACCTTAAATTTTATCCCCAAACTTTTTCACCTCAGGCTAGTCCGTCCTCAGTCTCAGGGGTCCTCTGCGCTTGTAAAATCTCTCTCTCTCTCTCTCTCTCTCTCTTGGAAGTAGTTCTAGTGTTCACAGGTCACCTGTGGTACACGTGACTGTAAATTACTCTTCCCCTTTGCTTGAATAAATTTATTAATCTATTCTTCTTAGGAAAAGGCCTGGTCTACAATGAAGGCTGAATTCAAACACTGAAAAAAAAAAAACTGTGATCTCACTGCCAGGGTTATAGATTCTGTAACCCTCCAATTAGCAAGCTCACTGCGTTCCTACTGAGGACCCTTTGAAAAGATTGGGGTTAGTTGGTACTCATAAGGGGGAGGGAGACTCATCCAACAGGCAAACAAGACCAACGGTCTGGTGCATCACTAAGAAACAGTCACATCAGAAATAAAACACCTAAGATGCAAATCTGGATTCTTGGGACTGTCTGGAACAAAGACCTGCCAAGAAGGGACGTGCTCATGACAGGAAAATGCCATACGTGAAGCAGTGTTAGCGACACTTTTACCACGGTGTCCCCCTCAACTCTGAACGAGTGGGGCTGATAGCCCTCAGGCTCATGGATCCAAATCCAGCAGTGTGGGTTCATCATGGGAAGTGGAGGGTCAAGCTCTCTGCCGGCCTCTGTCTTTCATCCTTCCAGTCCTCTGCCACCAAGCACACTTCCGGGTGCGCTTCCGGGTCCGGTCTATACAGTCTGCACTTTTGGACTGCCTGAGCGGAAAGATGCGGCTGCTGCAGCGGATCCTTCAGGCTGCAGAGGACCCTCCAGGCCGCAGTGTCGCACAGAGGCTCTGGGTGCTTTACATCCTATCCTCGCCCGTCGCCACGGTGAGACTCGCAGGGACTGGGGAGGCAGCGGAGACCTGCAGTCTTTTCTGATGTAACTCTTCCCACTTCCTTCGGTTGGCAGCCACTGAATCCAGCATTGGCTTCAGTTTGGCGTTGACCTTCACCAAGGCCTAAAGCAAACGAGAAAAAGGTGGAGAGTGAGGAACCTGGTCACGGGTTTGTATCCTCCTCCTCCTTGTGTTTATAAGGGGGATGGAAACCGGGTATAGGAAAGGAAATGGCTACCAGGTAAACACAAATTGCTTCTGAGACCTGTGCCGAGAATGACAAACAAGATGGCTGTGTGTTATTCAAGGGACAGGCAACCTTGTAGACTGTCTGTGTTTACAAGTGCATCAAAAAACCTAGAAGACAAAAATGCATGCCACTATTATCTATCAATAACTGTATCTTTGCCTACCAGAGAGAGTTTTACCTATCAGTAGACTGTGAACTCAAATTTTTCAAAAATAACTTTGCAATAGTGTTGGCAGAGGCTGCTCATTCATTTCCCAGCCGCCCAGACCTGAAATAATCATACAGAAACTGTATTAATTGCAATACTGTTTGGTCTATTAGCTTATGCATATTGCTAGCTAGTTCTTACATCTTAAATTAACCCATTTCTATTAATGTGTGTATCGCCATATGGTTGGGGCCTACCAGTAAGGTTCCGTCTGGCATCCGTCATGGCTGCTCCATGGCTTCTCTCTGACTCTGCCTACTCTCTCCTCCTCCATCTGCTTGGAATTCCCACCTTGCCCTACTCTGCACTGTAATAGGCCCAAAGCAGCTTTATTCGTTAACCAATGATTCACAGCATAGAGAGGGGAATCCCACATCACAATAGCATCTGCCACAGTGCCTGCTGAACTTTCCCACGTAAGAAAGACCAGGTAACAAGAGGGGCTCATCTTCCAAAAGCAAAAGTGCGGTGGCCATGCTGAACATACAGATTAACATGGAGTGACATAGATCCCAATGATGTCAAAGGGCAGCAAGGCCCTGAGTGCTGTTATGGGTGCGTGTGTGTGTGTGGGGGGAGGATGTCTTCATGGGAGCCTGCTGACATGACTTCATGTGTCTCCCAGAGTCCTGCCTTCCTCATAGCTGGTCAGGTTGGCTGCAAGCCCTCTTACTTATCTTTCTCAGTGTTCCTAACTACGCCCTTTGAAACCTTCTATGCCTTTTAACGCAAACACCTGTTTTCACTCTAGTGACGAAGGGAAAGGGGCGGGGAAGAGAGTAATGGAGAGGCGTGGGGAAGGTGAGAGTGGAAACGTAAGCAGTGATCAGCTGGGGGAGACGGATCACAAGGCTCGTGAAATTGACGCTTCAGGGTCCTTAACTGCCCAAGAGCCAGTTCTTCTAAATACTTCCTTCTGCATTTAATTTACCCTCTTTAAGAGAAGAGGTCCCTACTTTCAAGTGGTGTGAATGACTTCTGACCTCAGAAGCCCTGGTTGGCCCCTGGCAGTGGCATGGGAACCCTACAGCACGCTGTCTCATCTGAATTGGATGCACATGAGCCTTCTGTAGCTTTTGAATCCGTCCACCCAGAAATGCAGTACTATGGGATGGGCCAAAGACATTACCTATGAACTAGGGTAAGAATGGATTCAGAAGGCTCAGGCTAAATATCAGTAGATAAACATCTTACAGGCCAGAGGGGCATAGAGAACACCCTGCCCATCTGGGAAAACCTCATGATTCTCTGTTCCATTGGAACTTTTTTAAAACTTAAATTGTAAAATTAAAAGTTTAGAGTTCTTTTTCTCTATGTTAAAGGCTTTTTATTTATTTATTTTCCTGTGGTGTTAGGGATCAAACTGAAGGCCTCGTGCAGGACAAGTACTCCCCCTCTGAGCTGTAAACTTCATCCTAATATTTTGTCTTTCTCTTCCTCTGCATTGGAATAAGTCTTACTGCTTATTATGAAAGACTTCAACATATTCAACCAGTAAAATACAATTAGCAAAAATATCTTTTACAGTATCTACATGTGAATAACTAAATAATAAATATGAGTAAAATCATTCATATAGGACATACATAGTAAAGGGTCTTGGAGTCCTTTTATATTCTAGACAATCCTATTTTTGAGAAAAGGAAATAAAGGGTGTCATTCAGTGGTAGAATCTTTGTCTCATCTGTGGAAAACCCTGTGTTCAAAATTCAGCAGTAGAAAAAAGGAAATACGGGGACAGTCCATCTTTTTGCTGTTGTTGTTTTTTTTAAAGACAGTGTCTTACCATGCCTTGGCCAGTCTAAAACTCATGGTATAGACTAGGCTGGCCTCAGACGTTGAGCGAGTTTATAGGTTACAGTTCATTATTAAGGGAAGCCAAGGCAGGAACTGAACTAGAGACCATGGGGGAGTGTTGCTAACTGGCTTGCCATAGCAACTTTCCCCTATGCAACCCTAAAGGAATGAGCCTGGGGCTGCAGATGTACTTGTCTTTAGAAAGATGATCTTTTAGGTGAGCCCACTTCTGAGACCAGGGATTAAAACCTTGGTCCCATGAAAGTTGCAGGTTGGCCCCATTCATCACAAGGGGACAAAAGTTGAACTGAGAATAAAACCACAGTAGTTCCTGCACATCTTCCAGAAAGCACCGTCTAGGTGTGCCCCGTGGTTAAGGAGTGGCCTGCAGCAAAGTCCTTATCTGAAGAACAGCACGTCCCATAGACGGTGGAGTGTCCTTCCCTAAACACACCTGAACCACCCTGCCAGTAAACCTGACAGATCCCCTAACAGACCTGAATGGACAGAGAGACTCTCGCTGGTTGAGGTGACTCCTCTGCACATCGATGCCCTGTAATAGTTATTCTCATCCATCCCCATCGCACCGTGTGTGTGTCAGTGAGTGTGAGTGTGTCAGTGAGTGTGTGTGTCAGTGAGTGCATGTATGAGTGTGTGTATGTCTTCTTTCCAGTGACCTTTGTCACACTCACTAGAAATATCTCATTTAAAATCTGATGTACCATTTATTTCATATACGAATAAACCAAAGCAACATAATAACCCAGTGATTAAATTTTAAAATTAAAAATTCCCTTTATTTCCACTAGAAAAATGCAGATACCCAATTCCTGCTCAATGCTCAGTGTTTATCTGTCTGTCTGTCTATTTATTTATTTCTGACAAAAGTGTGTAGCAGCGATGACTGCCATGGTCTTGTTTAGCGTGCCTTGGCACGGGCTCCTCTTTCCTCTGATCAATGAACGGACTACTGTCATTGCTATGGAAATTAGCGGATTTGTTCTTTCCTGCTACAAAAGCATTTCTCTAGAACTTATTTTTTTTTTTAATCCCAGGAGCACAAATTGAAATTTTTTTCTGCTTGAAATGTAATTAAAAACTCATTTGATCACACTATTTCTGGCTCTGTTTTACTTATTAAATTCCTGTAATCAGTTTTCTTTTATGGAGCTGCTGGGAAATGATCTCAAAAGCAACACATTTTTCTCTTCTTTGGCAGGTTCCCGAGCATTTACTAAATTACATTCCTAGCACCTGCCCATGATCCGAATTACTCCGCCAATTTATTCTTTGAAACACTTAAGCTTGTTTGGCTTAGCCCCAAACACTTTCCCTCCTCGATCGTCTCCTTTTTTTCTTCCTCTGCTCCCTCTGTGTGCAGCGAAACACTAGGGCCGGGGAAAGATACCTCTTTCTCAGAATTCCCCTTTTCTTGTTTCCTCCTGAGGCAGGATCACCACAGGTGGAATCATTTCCCTTAGCACAAATGTTGATTCTAGACAGAAGCAGTAAAACACGAGTCTGGAGGAATTGCTTTGATACTATAAATTTGCCACATAAATGCGGCTGGGTGCAAGGACAAGGAGCTAGTGGTATATCTGCAGAGAAAGGGGAATCTGCAAAGTTAAGTCCCAAGGTTGCCAGGGACTGCCAGCCAGGCCCTGTGAGCAGGAGTACCACATACAGAGAAGTGGATGTTCCCGAAGGCTGGCCACCAGCAGGTAATTCCTGATGGTTCTGGGAAAGTCAGTACTTCCTTATGTAGAGAGAGGGGACTGTCACCTACAAAGGACTCATGGGTGGTTGCATCAGCCACAGGATGCCCGATTTCCTTGTGGTATACATGTGACTGTGCCCCCAGGAGCAATGAGCACACTACCTCTCAAGAAGGTCCACTTTATTCTTATTGTTTGACTTTAGAATATTGTTTTCTTGTGCTGAGCTCAAGTCTATGACCATGTAACTTATTCCCAGGGGCCTAATCCTTTAGACCAGACTCTTCCAGTCCCGTGCAGGACTCATGACTCTTGTGTTGATCCTGTGAAAACCACTGTACCTACAAGTTGGGATGCACACCTTGTCTCTTGGGACAACCTTATCGACCCCATTGGCACTCTCTCGACCCATCGGGAGCACCTGCGGTAGTTTTGCATGAGGGGACACACCCTACACCTAGCAGTCTGGGTGGCTGAGGGATTCCTCCTTCCTGCCTCTGCAAGTCACACTCCACTGTTCGGCTTTCTATGGCAAGCACGTGTAGTTTAGTCTATATTTTATTTATATTCTCAATAAGTAGCATTCTCACAGCTCAAGGGATAGACAAGGGCACAGAGGTACAAGGTAAAGTCTGGCTTCTACACTGCCCCAACTGTTTATCAATAGATATGATCAGCTGTTTGTGTGGCCACAAGATAAATTTTTACCTGTATAAGTAAAACACAAGATATTTTTTTTTTTGTCTACCTAATGTTTTTCAGCTGTCAAATTTGTCAAGCTAGTCCCCTGCTGTTAACGGAAATTAGGTGTTTCTATTTGGCCATTCTAAGTAACGGTGTCAAGGATATCCCGTGCTTAGCCATTTTGTAGATGAAGACCACCAGATGGTCAAATTGTAGAATTAGTATTTCTGGGTCAGAGTATGTGATTTGCATTTTGATAGATTCTGTTAAATCAATACATAGAAACAGCGTCTACAATATAGAACAAGAGGCTTACATTAACCAAGCTAGCAAGAGAATGAAAATACAGATTCTAACTATTGTTTAGATTAAGGCCTTGGAAAGAGAGTGGATACAGCTAAGAACACAGAGATCTGGACTTCTCTCTATGATCCAATTGCCGGTGTGTACACGGGGCCCTCGCTCTCTC